TAAACAATAATTTACAGACGATTATTAATCTATTATCAGATCTCTGTAAACTTTCCTTTATAATAAGTTAATCGTTGTGACAACTACTGCAGTAATCGAGACTGCCCTCTCTACCCTCAGTAGAATTCACCAACAGCTCAACTAATCTGTATTTCTTGACGTTAAATCTATGTCACATCTATAATGAAACGCTCTTTTGGCATTAAAAACAATTAATTTTGGCAATTTGTAGTTTAGTAAAGTATTACGATAATTCAAATTTAACTCAATAACAACATCTAAGCAATTACATTATCTCCACTTTTTTTTCGAATTACTTATCAGTCTGTTAGCCTAAAGCAGTAACCTGATTACTGCACCCAGATTTGTTTCTTGATGACTGTGTTTATTGATAAATTTTTCTCGTCAGAGTTGTCGTCGTTGTCGAAGTAGTTGTAGTAGTAGTAGCAGCAACATCAGTAGTAGTAGCAGTGGTTGTGGTAGTAGTCGTAGTAGTTGTTGTAGTAACAGTCGTAGCAACAGAAACAGCAGCAGCAGCAGCAGCAGCAGTACAAGATTAGTCGACCTGTAGTTGTTAAAAGATTTTTTAAGCTTGAAAACTCGACTAATAAGCTGCAATCTACGGTAGTTTAATAAGCTTATAAAGATGAAACAGTCGTGTCATGTAAGATGCACTTTTTTTTTTTTTAATTTGAAGCCCCACCCTGGCTTCTGCCGGGGGTCCTGAATATAGCCAGGGCATGGATATGGCCTAACGGCTGAAAGGGGTTTCTGGGACCTCTCCAAGAATAAACCTCATCCGCATAGCGGCACTTCGTGTCATCGAGTGCTTATCGCTTGTGTGATGTCCTGGTGGGGTACAACTACCTACCTACCTTATAATGATTACTTTGAAATGAGTTGTTACCTTCGCTTTAAAATAGTAGATCACTGAATGTTAGGCTATAGTTTTATTACAAATTATTTTACCTGCGTGGGCTCCTTGGACCTGTTTGAAGGGAAACAGAATAAATGGACAGCATAATACAAGCATGTCCCAGAAGGTGACTACTTAAAGATGTTTTTCGTTGAAGTCTGAGTCTGAGAGGCGAGGAACCAACAGTCCGTGTACAAATCCAGATCTGTCAAACGGATGTGCTTGTAAAATTTAACTCTAGAAACAAAACCAGTCTAAAAGTGGACGACCAACCAAAACTTTCTGCCGGAGTTTTCAGCTGGCGAAAGAGAAGAAGCAGTAGCGATTGCATTGCCTTCATCGGGAGTGGTGTTTTCTTCATAACTTTACTTGGGAATTAGCTGGTGACAATACATCAACAGTCAGAATACAGACATTGTTACATGTTAATGGCCGTTTGTAAAATTCAATAAGGGAACCATTGAGTGAGTTTATTTACGCTTAAATTGTTCTGTACATCCCTCTTTAGGCCTTTCCAAGACATTATCTTTAAAATTTTTCTTCAATATTTATCTCTCTTGGTTTTCTTTGTTTAAACTCTAAAGTGTGTTAACTTTATAAATAACAACTACACACAGATGTAGTAGTACATATAAGGGTTTACAATGGGCTCACCGCAGGCCGAGTCTTTGACCAAAGAGGCCGTATTTTATTTGTAATTTTTGAATTTTGATTAGTTACCTCCAGAAGTCTCCCGGCCTAAAGAGACCTGATTACGGGCCTCAGATTTATTTCCAGGTGATACATATAAGTCCTAAATTTTAATTACAACAATTGTGGACAATGATAGTTCTATATTCGTTAGTTCATCTATCAGTTGAGTGGTCAGGAGAATATACCACAATTGTTGCAGGATTTCAGTACGGTTTTATAATCGCACCAACCGCATCACTTGGTCCAGGAGATTTGGCCACAAACTGTGCCGGAGATTTGGCCAGAGTCTGTGACGAGGTAAGCAGCAAACATAGAGCTTCGATTTCTTCTTCTTCATATAGTCCATACCGTGTCGTCTACAGAACAACGCTCTCTTCGCGGCACGCTTGAAAGTCTCATTCTCTAGCCCTGTGTGCTTTCATAGCCAATTTTGGTTTCCACTAGGAACCACAGGTATGATTTGGCTACCGGGTGCGGACCAAATGCAGATGAGATGTCCTGAAAATTATTACGGAAAGATATAAAACTGAACGAAGAGTAGACCAGCGAGCTTCACAATATAATAAACACAAGGGAAAAAGTGAACGTTGCGGTTACAGAGACTTCATCAGCATACATAATTAAAACAAAAACAAAAAACAAACACATAAAATCACTTAACTGACGTATCCCGAAGCAGCCACGTTGATGACTTGTCGGCGGAATGACGTGAAAATTATTAGGACAGTTATTATTGTACATAATGTTTCTATGGCCTCAAGGGTTTCCCCCTTCTGGTATACTTGATATGGTACCACCCCTTTATATGTGTATACAATTATTGCCCGATACTTTGCTGGGAAAGACAGATCCAGACAGAAAAACATCTGATGCGGTGACCTCAGTTCTCTCACTGTTAAACATCCTTGTCTGTCTTTCACATCTTCTTTGTTCACCGGCTGTAAGCTCCAGCAGAAAGTCCTCGTTGTTCGTGCATTTGGACATTGGCTTTGTGCTATGGCCTCAGTTTTGCGTGCACATCTGTTTTACTTGCTTGCCTTTTGTGCAGTTGGTTGTTCCTTGCCGCCCAGGCAGATGCACTCCGACTTCGAAAGAAGTCCCCAGTTAGTCGACTCCCACGACATGCTTGTCGGGCAGGCAGTGGGTCTGTTATTGTCTCCCCCCCCCCCCCCCCACAGTGGTGGCCCGGAACCCACACGAGGAAAACAGTCTTCAACATAATCCGTCTATAATGATTAGTAAAGTAAAGTAAAGATCCCTCTTCACGCCTTTCGGCGCATCGGGCATATCGGCAGAGCGTCCCATATTTTACAGACCATCAGCACTCTGTGGGTAATGTGGTCAGCATTTCGCCGGCTGTCTTTACTTTCCCATGACAGCCCATCCTGGTACCCATTTTAGGCTGGGTCGACCTGCGACGTCCCATACCACGACAAAAATCCACGCAGCCTGCAGTGGGTTTCGATCGATTAGTAAAGTAAGTCAGTAAATAATAAGATGGCGTGGTAAACAGTGCGTCCATTTTCACATGATGTGGTTTTTCAGCAAATTCAGGTATTAAATGACTCCAGTTTTGAAACACTCGGCATTACCAGTAAAGACAAAAATAAAAATTATAAATGCAGTCTTCATAACAACCTAGTGCTATCAGAGTCAGATTTGGACATTGACTAAAGAGCACCAAAGAAAACTGACCACCTGCGAAATGTGATGTTTGAGAAAGGCTCTGAACCAAACTAAAATAGTTTATTGAGAAACGAATAAATTACAAGAACTATTGAAACCACATCTATAATCAAAGTCATTGAAAACAAAGACGGAAATGGGTTGATCATTTAATGACTATGAATCCAACAAGGCCAGCGCACACCGTGAAAGTACAAACACTAAGAGCTAGGGAATGACCAAGAAGAGTGTGGACTGATATGACCATTGATAACTCCGCAACATCACAGCATCCTGGGCAACGGAGCTTGCATGAGCTCGGAAACTGACCATCTGTGACCTTGCGGCACACAGCAGGATATTGACAAGAAACTGACCATCTGCAAACTTGCGGCACACAGCAGGATATTGACGAGAAACTGACCATCTGTGACCTTTGCGGCACACAGCAGGATATGGACAAGAAACTGACCATCTGTGAACTTGCGGCACACAGCAGGATATTGACAAGAAACTGACCATCTGTGAACTTGCGGCACACAGCAGGATATGGACAAGAAACTGACCATCTGTGAACTTGCGGCACACAGCAAGATATTGACAAGAAACTGACCATCTGTGAAATTGCGGCACACAGCAGGATATTGACAAGAAACTGACCATCTGTGACTTTTGCGGCACACAGCAGGATATTGACAAAAAACTGACCATCTGTGACCTTTGCGGCACACAGCAGGATATTGACAAGAAACTGACCATCTGTGACATTTGCGGCACACAGCAGGATATGGACAAGAAACTGACCATCTGTGAACTTGCGGCACACAGCAGAATATGGACAAGAAACAGAAAGTAAGTACATCAAGGACCCTTTCTCTGCAGAGAAACATCGGGTATCCGATGCTAGATTCAAATTTTTATAGACCAGTCAGACTTTATGGGTGATGTGGTCATCATCATGCAATTTGTTACTTTTCAGCGCATTATCTAGCACTCACTTTATGCTTGGCCCACCGGGGAGCCAAGTTTAATTTGGCAGGGAAAAAAATCCGACTCGGGGCGGATTTGAAGCCAAGACCTTCTGCCCAGCCGGCCAGAGTCTAGCTGCTACACCACCGCTGGCTCCCAGTATTTTATGATCATCTCATGTATACACTTGTTAAAATGAGTGCCTGTATATTGTTTGTATATTTGTATTTCTGCAGGACTTATCAGAGAGAAATACTAACACGTAGAACTGCGCGCGTCCATGCTGGCGTCTAACTACAACCAGGCTCAGCCACGGCAGTCGGGAACTTCCGAAGGAGCTGAACCCGAAGAAACAAAAAGGAAGACCACGCTAAGTCACAACCACTGATCTACGAGGACATTTGAAAAAAAAAAAAGCAGTTGCATATCCCTTACAGTACCTCAGAAACCAACCAGTATTTGTTGACTGTTCCTGGTTTCACTGGGTTAAATTACGCCAAGTAGTTTTTCGTTTTCCTTTCAACGGTCAACGCTTATACCATTGTCCAAAACAACGCAAAGTGCTCTACTATCAAAACATATGCCACTGAATCGGAATTATAAAACACCGCCCATAACTAATAAGCCATAGACACTTGTTCTTTGTTAAACAAAGATAACACGAAATAATGAATGCACAATGTCCTATTAATTTCTGAGAGTGAGAAGAAGCAAAGATCTTCTGATAAGATCATTACTACAGAAAAGGTGGAGCAATATGGAAGATATGATAGTCCAGCAGAGCAACCACACAAAAGAGGTTCAAGTGGAGAAACGACACGATTACATCGTCAGCGATGAAGTTCTGGCCCAACTGTCCTTTATCAACTTTGTCATTCTAACAGGCTCCATCAGTTCTCTGGGCGTTGTCTTTAATATTATCAACATCATCGTCTTTATCCAGCTTGGGTTTAAAGATCCTTTAAATATTTCCCTCTTGGGGTTGGCCATCGCAGATACCGGATCCCTACTGCCAATGATCTGGATCAGCATCTGCAACAACCCTTTGCTAGCCCAACAATACAGCCATCTGAATTTTCAAGGCATACAACATCTTACTGCTGGATGGCCACACGTCTGCTTCAGTCGGATATCTAGTCTATTGACAGCGTTCATAACTCTGGAGAGGCATCTCTGCGTTGCCTTACCTTTGAAAATCAAGAGTATCATCACTCCCAGAAGAAGGATCAACATCGTGGTGTCTATCTTCATCATTTCGACGGTGGGCGTCATTCCCACCTACTTCGGTGCCGGTTTGGGCCCAACACTGAACTGGGCAACAAATATGACCACTATTGGTTTAGTTTACTACACAAACGGACAAAATATCGAAAACGCTGCGATAATGTTCTCCACCTTCACCCAGCTTCTGGCCTTTGTCGTGGTCACTATCTCCACCTTAGGCTTGGTTCAAACCCTTCAACAGAAATCGAAATGGCGACAGACAACATCGAGCTCGTCTAACAACACTTCAATTAGCAACAGAGACCAGAAAACAGTGAAGCTTGTTGTCATAATATCGGTTATATTCATTGCCAGCTACCTGCCTATATCAATGAGCCTGCTGGGAATGTTGTCCTATGGGGAGTTCACTATGGTTGGTATGTACCGTAATCTACTGCTGGCTTTCGCAACTGTCTTCTTCTGTTTAGAGTCCTTTAACGCTTCTGTGAATATATTCGTATATTTAATTATGAGTTCCAAGTATAGGAATAAGTTTATGTCTATATTCAACCGTGGAAAATTGTTAAAACAATAAATGTTCAATGATCTATAGCTGTATTATAGTACAGTTTTGTGTTCATCGTCTTCTTCTTTTCGTTTATGTTTGTGTTATTTCGACGGATCAACATCATGGCACACGAGTGTAACCCATAAGTGCTCTGTTCTACGTCTAACTTAAGCCTGAGTCTGAAGAATCTCATCACAGTGCACGAACTCCTTTGCATCGGCGAGGATTTTGAAATACTATAGGTAAAATTTTTAACTCCAAATTTTGCTGGGCAGCACCGATAGGCTACTCTTTTCGATTTCCAACTGCAAATGGATGTTTTTTACGTACGCAAGAATACACACGGGCGTCTGATCTCACTACCCAGAGACCAGGAGAAATTACTAGAAGTCAACGAGAAAAAATTCCAGCCCTCACGGGACCTCCAGCACTCGAGGCGGACACCATACCTTGAGACCACTCAGCCCCCTCGTTTCTCCCTGTAAGTGGTTTTCAGATGAGAAAAGCGCCTGCCTGTGTAAAGACTGTAGTTTAACTCCTGTCCTTCACTGAGCCATACAGCTTGACTTTCATGGGAATGCCAACTGGCCGGACCTGAGATCTGCCTACTGCATATGGACAACAATTTTTCAGGATTTGTTCTTTCCAAAGTCTGGAACAGTTCTGAGTCTCCAAATCTCGAATTTCCTGCACACTTAGCAGCCGAATCTGTTGTGTTAATTTCATAAACTTCTTTTTCATCGTCCGTTTTACGGATTTGATTATTTGCATGCAGACTGTTGGTCCCTTGCTTTTCAGGTAGACGAACTTCGACGGAAATCTGACTCTTACGACATGCTTGTTGGGGAGGCAAGGGATCTGTTCTGGTTCAGTTTTCCCCACAATAGAGCCACAGAACCCACACGGGGAATTTCGCAAACTAAATACAATTCCTGGGAAGAGATGAAGAGGGAGACCAAAGAGAACATGGGTGCAGGATGTGGCGGATGATCTCTAAATGGATGTATCGGGCGCGGAACATCTTGCTTGTGATCCAGAAATTTCCCGGAGGGTTGTTATGGGAGCATGGTTCTGCAAAGGACATGCTACTGACTGACTGACTGAAATACAAGTGTGTTCGTTGTGACATCATAGACTATGTCTTCTTGTGTGTCCCTTACTTCATAGCTTCTCTTATCTATCTTCTAGCTCACACATTTGTCAAACATGTTTCACATGTTTAAATAATACATTAACAATGTATCCATTAGTGGTAATCTTGGGGAGAGTAACATCATCGGCGACCTTGTGGCCTATTGGCTGGCCGGTAGACGACTTCGTCGTCGGTTAGAACAGTTTTTGGGTCCGTCTCTCTTGATCACATCAACACTGCAAGAGTCCTTTTCGGGGCTACTTAGTGGCGTGCAATACTAAGCCATAATATATGGCCCAAATAAACTTAATCACAATTATAACCCAAAGTTCCTCCTTTGGGGATGCTCCTTGCTTGAGTATATCTCCCCCCCCCCCCACCCCACCCCATCATCAAAATAGCCAGACAGATGAAAGTAATAAAGGTTATGGTTCGCGAAGGAAAAACAAACATGCGTCGACCAACGCGAATTTAAAGACAGTATATCAAGGACACCTTGAACATTAAGATTCATGAGGCGAGAAAGTCGTCAGAGGGCAGAGTAGCTTTCAGACGTGCATTGATGAGAGCGACGTTTTCCAAAGTACCTGTTATATTATCATGATGATGAGTGTTCATATGAATATTGAAATGTATGAAAGCTGAAACTCTGCTGCCCCTTTTTCTAACCCCCACCCTTTAGGGTTGTAACCTGAAACACGGCCGGACTGGCTGTGAGGCCGAACAGGTCTACGGAAATTCCCGTTTTGTTAGGCCGGTCCACGGTCCGGTCTGTGCTCACTATTGTTATCGAGTCAATTTATACATACATTAAACTACAGGTTAATTAATTTGCAACACCCTAAGATTATGTAGCAGCCTTTGTGTGTGTGTGTGTGTGTGTGTGTGTGTGTGTGTGTGTGTGTGCATGTGTGTGATGGTGTGTTTGTGAGTCTGTGTGCATCTTGTTGTATGTGTGTGTGTGTGTGTGTGCGTGTGTGTGGCCAGTCTGAAAGTTTGACATCCGGAGATACAAAGAGCCAGTTTTCAGATGCCAACGCAGCTGGAACACGTCTGAGATATCCCGTTGCCCCCCGCCTTGTTTTCGAAACCTACTCACCTTTCCCCCTCCCGCCTATCTCCTAGGCTAAAGACAAAAGGTCTAGACCAGTGGCTCTTAACCTTCCTAATACATTTCCTGATATTGTGAAACAATTATTTTCCTTCTTAACTTCAATGAATATGTGTTTGCCGATTGTCTTTTGTGACCCCTGTGAAAGGGTTTTTTGACCAAAAAACGGGTCGCGACTGGCAGGTTGAGAACCATTGGTCGAGACACTTCAATGCCAGAGATAATTGTTAAGTCATAAGTGGGCAGTAACTGTCTATCGAATTATAAGGCATATAATTTAATGGGTTCTTTCCCTTGGATATGTTTTCGTTTGCTCTTGTCTCTCTACCCTCATTAGACAGCAGATTACCCCTGGCTCGTGTGGTGGTCATTAAGAGTGGCCTAGTTATAACTTTTTGGAGGGCTCTACCTTGTTGGTCTGCTGTCTAGACTGTAGAGGGTTCTATTGTTGGTCTGCTGTCTAGACTGTAAAGGGTTCTATTGTTGGTCTGCTGTCTAGACTGTGGAGGGTTCTATTGTTGGTCTGCTATCTAGAGTGTGGAGGCTTCTATTGTTGGTCTGCTGTCTAGACTGTGGAGGGTTCTATTGTTGGTCTGCTATCTAGAGTGTGGAGGCTTCTATTGTTGGTCTGCTGTCTAGACTGTGGAGGGTTCTATTGTTGGTCTGCTATCTAGATTGCAGAGGGTTCTATTGTTGGTCTGCTATCTAACTGTGGACGGTTCTATTGTTTGTTTGCTGTCTAGACTGTGAGTGGGGGAGGGTTCTAGTTTTGGTCTGCTGTCTAGACTGTGGAGGGTTCTGTTGTTGGTCTGCTGTCTAGACTTTGGAGGGTTCTATTGTTGGTCTCCTGCCTAGATTGCAGAGGGTTCTATTGTTGGTCTGCTATCTAACTGTGGACGGTTCTATTGTTTGTTTGCTGTCTAGACTGTGAGTGGGGGAGGGGGGCGGTTCTAGTTTTGGTCTGCTGTCTAGACTGTGAGGGTTCTGTTGTTGGTCTGCTGTCTAGACTGTGGAGGGTTCTATTGTTGGTCTCCTGCCTAGATTGTGGAGGGTTCTGTTGTTGGTCTGCTGTCTAGACCGTGGAGGGTTCTGTTGTTGGTCTGCTGTCTAGACTGTGGAGGGTTCTGTTGTTGGTCTGCTGTCCAGACTGTGGAGGGTTCTATTGTTGGTCTGCTGTCTAGACTGTGGAGGGATCTGATGTTGGTCTGTTGTCTAGACTGTGGAGGGTTCTAATGTTGGTCTGCTGTCTAGACTGTGGAGGGTTCTATTGTTGGTTTGCCGTCTAAACTGTGGCGGTTTCTGTTGTTGGTCTGCTGTCTAGACTGTGGAGGGTTCTATTGTTGGTCTGCTGTCTAGACTGTCGGGGGTTATATTGTTGGTTTACTGTCTAGACTGTAGAGGGTTCTATAGTTGGTCTGCTTTTTAGACTGTAGAGGGTTCTATTGTTGGTCTGCTGTCTAGACTGTGGAGGGTTCTATTGTTGGTCTGCTGTCTAGACTGCAGAGGGTTCAATTGTTGGTCTGCTGTCTAGACTGTGGAGGGTTCTATTGTTGGTCTGCTATCTAGAGCGTGGAGGGTTATATTGTTGGTCTGCTGTCTAAACTGTAGAGGGTTCTATTGTTGGTCCGCTATCTAGACTGTAGAGGATTCTATTGTTGGTCTGCTATCTAGAGTGTGGAGGGTTATATTCTTGGTCTGCTGTCTAGACTGTGGATTGTTGTGTTGTTGGTCTGCTGTCTAGAC